CACTCTTAAGAAGAATAATAGAGAGAAAGGAATAATTAGCACTTGAATACTAGAATGCTTTGATTCAATGCTTGGGTAATTACAAATGAGGGGAGGAGCTCCTATTTATAGCCTCCTCCATGCCTTTGGCCTTTCATCTAGCCAATGTGGGACTATACAATATCCAAGAGAAGCTTCTAGATTACAATATAATATTCTATCTCTTAGACTATTCTTATGTACATAAATAACTCTAGAACATTCTAGGTTATTCTTAGATCCTCTTTAGAGTTTTTCCTTCTTGCTCTCTCCTGAATGTGGCGGAATCTTCTAGAGCCCCTTTTGATGACTCTCTATATTCTGACCTTCTCTAGAATCTTCCATCCTGTGTTCGTCTTGACGATTTCTCGAATGTGGCGGAGCGTGACATAAGGCTTTTAAACCCAAGGGGATCTCTCTTTGGGCCTCCACATGATGGTCCTTAATCACTCGACCAAATGATGATGGTCCATGAACACAACTACTTGATCAAATGATGATGGTTTAAGACCACCCAGGCGAGGCACCACTAGAGAATCAGGAAGTGGTTTAAATTTCTAAAAGGGGTGGGTCCCAGTTCTAGTCCTCTAAGATAGTCGATAGGAAAGTCCTATGGTTAGATTCTATGCTCTATGAAGAGGAAGGAAAGACCTCACAAAAATGAGGTCAATAGTTTAATGTGACCAAACCATAAGACGACTCTTTCTAATCTTGTCTGCCATTGGAACTACACCCACCCTATCACAAATATATTCATTTCACATTTTGTCTCTGTGTCAGGCCACTCATCCACCTAAGCATTCTCATCTCAACAACACTTAACTTTGTTTTATGCTTCTCTTTTAAAAACCAACATTCTGTGCAATTCAGCATTGGAGGTCTCACCACCATCTTATAAACTTTTTTTTTCTGTTTAAGCTATACTTTTCTATCACACAATAGGCTCGAAGCATTCCTCCACTTCAGCCGACCAACTTGAATTCTACTAATAACATCCCCATTTATTTCACCATTACTTTGAACAATAAGGAAAAAAAAAACAAAAAGCACTTAAACATTTTTAGCATGTTTATTCATATGCTATTATCAACATGTATCAATCCGATAACAGAGGCATAAATATGCAATTTGTAAAGTTCAATGAATTCCTGAACACGATGAATCATGATAGATCATAGATCTTACACAAAATGAAAATAATTTGCGCTTATTTTGAATAGGTAGGAATGCTCAATGTATTAAAATAGTGGATCACATTAGACACTAGTAATATGCTCAATATGAAAAAAATTCTACTAATATGTTCGTAGCGGTTCAATGTACTCACATAAATTAATAATCATTAGACCTACAAAAAATTTGCCCCTTATATTAGAGATCGAGTATTTTATCGCAAATATTGGATTCTTCTCTGAACTACTTTTCTCATATTTATTGTCTAGAAGTCTTATTATTTGGTAAAAAGCCTAATCAAACATCAAATTTTTTGATTTAAATCAGTTTCCACTTTTCCAACTCAAATATAAATTAAATAAAAAAATATTTTTAACTTTTAAATTTGTTTCTCTTCCTTCTAGCCTTGAACCCTATGAACTTAAACGGAACTTAATTTGTTAAAGTTATTACAATCCTCTTTTTATCTTTTCCCTACAGACTTTCTGCTGGCTTTTCTCTACTCTGTTCAGCCTTACAGCCATGTGATGAAGTAATACAGTGAATCAGGTAATGCTGGTAGCAGTCGTTTGGGTTTTTTTAATAGATATGTATAATGTAAATGTTAACTATCACACACCACCAATTTCAAATTATGTTGCATGTCGAGAAAAGTGGAAAAGCAAAAGTGTTTGCTATAGGATGATTAATTGGTGTACTTGGTGAACATTATTATTAAACTGGCTTGAGTTATTTAATTAAAGTAGTAATTTAGCTTATGAAGGTTTGATTCTGTTGTTTATATTATTATTGATATTTAAATGATCATAACAAAGTAAAATTTTATGGAAGTGTTTTTGGTCAATTTTGGAATATGATAAAATTGGGTTTAAAATTTTAAAGAAAAGGTTTCATTTTTTTTTATTTTTTGGTATGACGAGTTATCCATTCCTATGCCTTGCAAGAGAACCATTGTTGAGATAACTGAATTGGTAAGCAATAACTCAAGGTATCCCCGCTTGTTAGAAAGACTAGGTTTAGATTAATGGACGACATTGGGTCGTTTTTTATGCCTGCCAAACTTTTGGGGATATAAACTTTCTAATAAAAACTTCTAAAGCTTTGTGTTTAAGAGCGGAGTTAGGAGGAGAATGGAAGAACTAACTTAGCTTAACCAATGGGGCTGAGAGATGAACTTGGCCAAATAGTTCGGGCAGGCACGCCGGTTTAACATTTGAAGGGATAACTTTGGAAGCTAATATCTTTTAAATGGTTGGGCCAATATGGCTCCATTGTAATTCTTCACACCCAGTGAGTGGTTCTTTCAACCACTTCTTATAATGTTCAGGTTGGGTCATGTCTATCTTAAGCTTGTTACTAAATTTTTTGAATTGCCAATTTCATAAATATATTAGATGGGTTTCCAGCTGTGCCTGTAATATCCTTACTTTGTTTTTACTGATTTCCTACACATTTTTTAGATATTGGTTAACCTTTTTGGTGAACTTTTTTAAGTTTTACTTTTTGCCTAGTTCAAAACAATTCATTTATGTTATTTTCAGAAGAAATCCCTTGTATTTTCTCCAATTAGTCTCTCTCGTCCTATAATATTCTTAAAAATTCCACCTCATATCAGGCGCTTTTTCTTGCATTGTTTCCTCTAAAAATCTCATTTCATATTCACATATCATTGCTAGTTTGCATATCCCACCCACTCTGAGTCCTGCTACTATAACTATTATGCTGGCATCTGCCGAATATTTGGATTATAAGTGTTAAAATAGTTTATGGGAAGATTTACATACATACCACTCAGCTCTAATGTATTTACATATCTAACACCTAAACTTCAATTTTGACATACATGCCACCGTATCTATGCATGAAAATGTGTATTTCACTTTTAAAAGTTAAAATGATGATATTTTTGATGTTATATGAAAAATTTGTGTGGTATAAATGTAAAATTAAAGTTTTGGTGTTAGATATGTAAATACATAAGAATTGGGTGGTATTGTAAACGCCTTTATTTGATATATTTGGAGAAATGTCAATACGACTTTCCAAAGAGCGCCAAAGTTGGCTTTCTATCAGCTAAATTTGCTTATATATGAACTAAAATGGTCACTTTTCGTGATAATTTAGAATAATGATGTGATGGGCATCTCATTTGGTTGTTATAATTGTCTTTTTTTTTTAATGTAAAATTCCTTGTTAATAATGTTGTGATAGTTGTATGTACTACAGTTATTTAAAATGTTCAGGTGTACTTTGACAGTTTGACGATTCTGAACTAGCTATGGGAGAACTTCGTCAGGATCCTTTAGATGGTGAAGAGGTATGCTTTTGTGCTCTTATTAGACTTTTCCTGGTATATTCAATTTGTTTGGCATTATAAATAATGTTAGTGGTTATTATGTGCCACTTGTATGTAAAATTATGCTCGTACGGATGGTTGAGCTTGTTTTTGTAATTAACCAATACTCTTGAATTGTTATTATTTATTTTTAAATATTATATGCATTTGTTTATGTAGTTGATGTTTAATTTACCTTTTTCATTTTGGAAAATTGCAGCCTTAGGTGACAAATTTTCACGTTTTGCTCTGATGTAATTTAAAACTTATGGTTATTGATCTTATATCATACTTCTCTTCACGGTTGTTTCTTTCAGTTGGTTTTGTTTAATGAAACTTTCAATTTGTCAACAGAAAAAGGCCTGTTTGGCTAATAAGGTCCTGTGAATGAATGAATCAAGCGTGTCGGTGTTTGTACCCTTATCCCTACTTAGTAGGCTGTTTTCATTATTTGATGTTTGGACCGTAATTGCAAGTGATGGTGGAGAATAATCATTGTTTCAGGGGTACCCCAAAGTTAATGTGGTCAAATTTTAACTCTTAAATAATATGATTTAAGAGCAACTTTACACATCAATTATGTTCTGTTCTGAAAAATGCATTACAATTTTCTCCTATGTTATCATTCTCTCAACAACGCAGTCTACCCTACTGTATTTATAACCCCCATTCATATAAACGTAGGCTATTGATATTATATTTTTACTTCACTATTAATTTAAGGAGGATTGATTTATGAGCCATATTCATTCCTATTACTTTTTAAACTTAGTTTCACCTTCAAAATCACTGATTGAAAAAAAAATAAATCATTGTCAAACTCTTTTCATCTCCATGTTTCATATTTTTATGCTACAATAAGTTTGAAAATGCTATCATTGCTGGGAGAGATCCTTAAGTTGGGATAAAGACAAAAGAAACTATCATGGAACGCTAATATCTCATTGCTTCTGCATCGTTCCACCTCTCACTTCTCTTATCACCATTTAAGTTCTTATCTAGATAAACTTCTTTCTTCTTTCCTCTCCCTATCTTTTTGCTGCAAATGCTAGGATTTTGTTTAGATGAGAATTGTCTCGTTTGAAGGATAGCAGTGGAAGTGGGTATTTGAAGGAATTAGAGTAATAAGCCTCCTTCATGCAGATTAAAATGGTGGCTTTTATCAAGTGGTTGTGTCGAAAGAAACATCTCGTCTTGGAAAGGAAATGCTTAGAAAATTTAATGATGATTCCACTAAAGACTAGTAGCGATGATTCATGATAGCTATTTTGTGGTTCCTCTTGTAGCTTTTCACCTTGGTTCAGATAGGGTGATGGATTTACTTTACATTAACGTGAAAGAAGAGGCTTTTGAGGCCTTTCTTTATCACAAAACGTTGATCAGTTGTCAATTTTTTTTTTAAAGTCTTGTGGCTGGAATAAACAAGACTAGCTTTTGAGTTGTGAACACTAGGGTCAGAATTGCCAATTCTATGTTAAGCCATACGGGGGAGACATATGGGGTTCTTATAACTGACATTATAGTGGCTCTTAAAGAAGAATATCTTAAATTACATTTTTATTGGTTTTTTTTTAATACAAATTGTTTGAGATATCTTCTTTCAAGCTTGATCATTTGTAATTATTTTTCCTGTGAATTGAAAATTTGTATATAAGCATATTTGCTTATATGCATTTTTTGATTTTCTTTTAAACTTATGTAGAAGAGCGAGTGAAACTTCAGGGAATATGAGGTTTCAATATCATAACCTGTAATTTTTAGTTCATTTATTTGGTTCAAAAAATATGTGGTTTCAATATCATAACCAGTAATTTTTAGTTCATTTATTTGGTTCTTTGTCTACTCACGCTTTTCACTGGCTAAAGTCTGGCCTTACTTTCTCATTCTCTATGTCAATTACATGTGCTGAGCCAACTGTTTTCATGTTAGCATAACTTATTCCCAATTCTGTCACCGTTATTTTTTGTTTTGCAGTTCCATGCTGCTTGCAAGATCGCCTATTCTTGTCATTTTCTTCATTTTTTCAACTACAATTGCTTGAATTTCATTTTTCTAATAGTTACTCATTTTCTATCCTATTTAACAAGTTTTCAGGTACTTACATAGCCACAATTATCATGCCGGTGATGTAAAAAGAACAAGTACTTTTGATGAGATATAATTGCTTGGCCCTTGAGACACTAACGCCACCTTAGGCTCTTTGCTTGAATAAAATTTAATATTTAAAATGAAATAATCATGCACTTATAAGCGAATTTTAATTATGATGAATGTTTTTTAACTACACATAATGATAATTACATTAAACTAAGAAAATAAATTATATATTTTCAATTTCATTGTATTTAATGTTTAAAAATTTTGTGAATAGAATTTCTTTTAAACTAGTTATGTAATTTTCTTATGCATAATTTATCTTTCATATTACTTGTCTATTCCACAAGGGATTTTCCTAAAGAACATTTATCTAATGGCAGTGAGTTTTGTATAAAAATATATAACCTTGTGAGCACATCACATTTCTAAGTAATAATAAGCACAATGGGAAATGTAAAGTTGTAAGAATCTTTGGATAAGCATGGCACTATTTTCATGGCATATAGTATAAAGTAATTGTGGTAGTTATAATATTTGATTTGGTAGGCAAAATCATAACATTTGAATATTATCACTAGCATGGATCATAACATTGAATGACATACTTTTGGTATTATAAAGTAAATAACTATAATAGAATGTTATATACCACCTTGTCATTGATTGAACATCCTTTGTTGGTACAAGAACGCAACTCATATTCCTATTAATCTTAGCAATGACATGACATTTCACACCCTTGATTGATTTATTCCTTGTTGGCAAAAGCAGGGTGCATATATGTATTTCATTCTCAATGGTAGATGGAAAGATTCATCAAAGCCTTGTTATATTAGAATCCACACCTAGTACCATGAAGGTCTCCATTCATAATATGCACATGAACATAGCATGTCTATGTTTTTCTTTGCATTAATCCTCGCATGTTACACCATAGATGACCCCACTTTAGCGTTAATTGTCGTGCAACAGAGGTTGACGATGCAGTCAAACACAATTCCCACCACATTAGTTCTGACTTGCACGAATTATGACTTAGCGGTAACGAATTAGTCTAACTCAATCGTCTCAAACATAACAATCCAATTCATTCCTAATTTATTAACATTTTAAATTATTAGGAAGCGTTAATGATAATATCACCAAAATATGTACAAAGCTGCTAAAATTCAACATATAAAGTTACCCAAAAGTCTGCACAACTTCTAAAACTATACAACACCTTGCTACTCGCTCGGGTGTTCCTTAACACTTCCTGAAAATCACATGTTAGAGTGAGCTTCAAACTCAATGTAATAATCATGACTAAAGAAAGATTTTATAGTAAATAACTGCAGTACATGAAATAACAATGTTTTAATCATGTGAGACATTTATGGTAAATGACATGAAATGTAGTAACTAGTAACAACTGCAACTAGCATATTTCTCATTCATTCGCATGCAATCATAATAATTTTTTTTAATGATTTCATAATCAATAACTGTCACTTTAAGAATGTTGCTTGTAATTAAGTAGGCTTTGATTACATTTATTTCATTTCATGACATTGGTCGTCACCCAGTCCCTTGACGAAAATAACTCTTGGTAAAGGTTGGGTCCCTCCCAACATAGCACATATCAATATCCATCCGGATACAAATTGTTCCATTGCTGCTTAAATTTTATGAGTTGGGAATCCCATTGTTCCCTATAATCCGTAACTATAGGTCATTCATGTAGTGTATCTATCACAACACTAGTGACATTTCCTTAAACATAATTTCTGTAACAATTTTTTATTGCATGCAAATCATGTATCATATGCATGTATAACAATATGTGAATACCTGCAAATAATGATTTCATAAATATGCTCACCAGATGTCGGCACTAAGAGAAAGTTAAAAGAAAGTTTGGGGGGTCGCCCGTAAGAAGCTGTTGGCAGCCAGAATTGAAATCCCATCGCCCGCTTCGCAAAGACGTTTTAATTTACGTATATATATA